AAAGAGGACACATTGCCCGGACCAGATCCCAATGCCCGTAGCATTGAAAAGGACAGAAAACAGTTTCCTGTTTGTAACGTGGTTCAAAGGGCCGGTCGACCGGAAACGAGATTCATGGCAGCCGCCTGTGCACCGGACTTGCTCCACAATGAGTCGTGAATGGTGATCGCGTCCACCACCGGACTTAAATGATTCGTTGAAGTGATCTCTGTGAAATGTTTCCCACCGCTATTGTATCTGTTAGAGCCAAAATGGTTAGGAAAGGTGGAGACAGAAACAACGTTAGTTGGGTATAGAATTGTGAGACAATGTAAGCACAATAAGACTGATGGTTGCGCGCCATAAACAGTGATCTTTTTCCTGAATCTTGCCACTATCATATGTGAATCTAGTTGAAAGCCTCAGTATGGTCGGGGATGGATGTCTCGGGTTGCGACTGGTCACCGCACTCTCACAGCTCCCATTCGACCAAGTATCTCAAACAACTTCTGCTAAAGAAGTCATACTCACTAGCTTCTCATGTCGATGTTTTCCCCTCAAAGTGAAAGGAGAAAAAACCACATCCGGGGCTATAACCGGTTCGATGAAGCACTGGCAGTTCACCTAGGGCAGCTGGCCAAGAACTCTGATTCCAAAACCAAGAGGAGGCGTGGGAACCATGCAAGCACCTTCCTAGTTATAGTAATGCACACCAGCTCGATTGGGTATTGAAGAGTATTGGAAACCTAGGACGTTTAACCCCATCGGAAGACCGCTAAACAGGACACTAGTCTCCAATGGATCGCACTTTTAACACATACACACACATACACTACCTTTTTGGTCAAGCTTTGGTTAGCCGAAGACTCCGGTTGTGAACTCCTGAGCAACCTGTCGTGCCCTGGAGCACATCATAGATTTGGTTTTTTATGAAGATTATTGTACCGTGTTTGTTTGGTACACAACATGGACTCAGGCGTGTGCGAAATACACAATAAAAATCGTTTAGGTCAATGTTTCTTATGTGTAGTCATTATTTATTATCATACAACCGGAACGAGTAAGTAAGAAGGGAAAGAAAGAAGTGAGTGAATATACGTGCGTGGACCAATAACATCGAAACATCACGCGTTTAGTAAACTTAAAGGTTTGCTAAAAGAACGAGTGCGAAAACTGTGCTACTAAGTGCAAACGATCAACGGAGAAGTTTTGTTTCCATATTTCAATTCCTATTGCCGACATAGATACCGTTTCGCGAAAGCCTACATGATGAACTGAGGAGTCACTAGGATCCCTGTTTGACTTATTGTGAAAAGCGGAGTCTTAGGGAGCATCAAAAGAACAAACGAATCATCATCAGCTTATGTTGAAATGGTAAACTGTTCAGTAGCCTTGGTGGGATTCGAACACACCAGCACGGATGCGGCCTACGGTTTTGCACAGCACGCGCTCTACCAGCTCTACCAGGCCACACCGATAGCAGAATTTGAAAAGATCAGTGCCTCGTAGCTCAGCTGGTAGATCGCACGCTGCGTAAAACCGTAGGCGGCGTTCATGCGTGTGTTCGAATCCTACCAAGGATACTGAACAGTTTACAATTTCAACATAAGACTTCAATCTACCTAACAAAAATTTGGACACATCATCATCTACCAGATCATCATGATGGGCTTGTGCCATGGTTTTCAACACACAATCCACCTACAGAACATTTAATTTTTCTAGGATAAGCAACTATGGGAATTTTCGTTGCCGAGCGCGTAATCGAGGCATATCACAAAAGGGAACTTTGTCATCCTCAATCGCTACGTACATGAAATGTGAAACTAAACACACTAAGAAGGTGCACACTCACTTAAAAAATCGGTTTGCCATTTCGTGAGTGATTTTTCTCGGCCCCGTGCCACAAATCAGGTGCAATTCTTCGAGCTCCAGATCATAGGCATAAACCGCTCGATATTGACATCGAGCATCGCGAAACAGGATCATGAAGTGGGTGCCCTCTGTGGAAGCCAATTCCTAAATGATAAAGATAGAAAGTGATTGAATGTGCATGCCACCGTTGGAATAAAAACT